CGACGGGGCGGGGCGGGCATTTTGTCCGCGAAGCAATAAAGACCGCGTCTGCCCGTCGATGTCTGCGGCTGACTGCGCCGCGTACACAAAGCACACGACGGGCAGAGGCGGTCAGTTCAGGACGTTCGTTCTAGTGAATAGTCCATACTAAAAAGCGCGTGGCGCGGACTGACCTAGCCGCCCCGCGCCGCGGTCTGCGTTACTGCATATAAACTGGTTTGTATGATCCACGGCGGGCAGCCGCGGACATGCCGCGCCGCCACTGTCCGCCGGGCACCTGCGGCGCGGTCTTTTTGCCCTCTGTGTGCGTTTGAAGTATAGGATTCACTTTGTGCTATTATTCGCGGCGAAATTGACCGGCCCGCCCCGCCCCGTTGTCTGCAAAGCGCCTTAAGAGCCCTGTCACATTTTTTGCAAAAAGCGTAATTTTTAAGCGCCTCATTTACCCCCTTATAAAAGATTTTGACTATTTCCAATAGAAGTAAGCAGTACATTTATTCTTCCTATTGTAAGTTAATGTAGAATATTTGCAAACTCTATTTTTTTTGTACTGATCTTTCTACTGCAGCTAGTTTACGGAAAAAACGATAATATGCACAACTTCAAACGTCTCAATCTCTCAATAATGTTCAATAAATTAGATCAAATTAATTACTACGATATCAGAAATATGTTTTTTGTTGTAACATAATGTATTAGTATTTTGATTTTGCATCTCATTAATTATCAAAAAAAAAAAAAAACTTACCTCCGTGAGTTTCCCAAAAAATAATGCAGGTACCTCGTATTTTGATATTTAATTAAAAAGAATTACTATCAAAAACTTTCATAAAACTAATCTACCATCATTGAACTACTGAAATATGTATATATTAGATTTAAACATCTAGCAGTTAAATGCTTAAAAATAAATAAAAACATATGTATATATATTTATAATTAGTTCATTTATAATTATTTTATATAGCACTCGAAACATCACCCGTAAAATACAATACTTACTAGTGCAAATCTACCTACGCGCAGCGGCGCTGCCGTACTGATCGGCGTAGGACCTCGCTTGCTTTATTTGATAGGTATAGGTTGTAGCAGTTTTTGCTACCACCAGCTAAATCAGGGCTTTGCATGAGACTCAAAATTGACTATCTACCCAGGGCGCCTTATACTGTAATTTGTGGGAGTGAAATAAAATATTTTATCGCAGTGAACAAGATATACAACGCTTTATATTTTCACTATTCAGATGAAATTTTCAACATTCAGTGACACACTTATTACTACTAACAGATATCTTTGAATATAGCTTTTATAAGTTTAAGTATTAAGATTAAGTGACGAACATACAGTCAATAACAGGTGTACATACTGATATATTTATGTTAATCTACTATATAAAAATAAGTCGGGTTTTCCTTCCTGACGCTATAACTCCAGAACGCACGAACCGATTTCCACGGTTTTGCATTCGTTGGAAAGGTCTCGGGCTCCGTGAGGTTTATAGCAAAGAAAATTCAGGAAAAATTAAAAAAAAAAATCTTTTAATCACCAAACGAAATGTTACATAAAACGAAGCCATCTGGTGGCGAAACGGAGTTCGCGGGGTTTGCTAGTATTCTATAGAAACAATTTGTTTTAGCAAATATCAAACAATATGAAATGAAATTAAAGATATTCTTTTAATGAATTTACATTTTACTATTACAAATCCTTTATTAAGTTTTAAGAATCAGAAATTTTGTACTTCGGAGAATGCACTGGTTAAATATTAAGAAAATACAGATATTACTTAGCTTAAAGACTTCGGGAACATCGAGTAGCTTACAAATGTCGTTAAATTTTTAAGAAGAATATGCTGTCATCAGCCGCTCCCGTCTAGGTTGCAGAATACAGTTTACAGGCTCATTTTACCAAACGTATTCCTTTCAATATTTCCAGGGAAATTCCGAGCAGTTCTAATCAATGAGTTTCTGTCTAGATATTATACTAGCTTCCTCAAAGGACCTAGAAATAATTACACACACTTCCTATAGTACCAGTAAAAGCCTATATTGATCTACAACCTATCGAATTAAATATATGGAACTTACCCGTTAATCCGGGGAGAAATAACAAATTAACACTACTTGTGTTTTAAAATTCTTAGCGCACTGACCACAGCTTTCTCAAAGTTCACTTTGCGACTACCTTGATGTACAAAAATGCAACAGCTAAAGAGATCGAATGCTGCTGCGCAAAGCTATTTATAGTGCCGATTGCTAAGTAAATACTGACAGAAGATTTCGATTCTCTTACCAAATAAGGAGCGAATTGCACTCGGAAGTGGTTAAACAAACTACGCCCCTTGCAATTGCTTCTAGAACTTATCAATATGACGTCATACCTGTTCCTTTTACTATTCAAAAATTATATCAACAACTCCATCTATCATAAATTCCAAAAGCAACTGTCAGATTCTTTCGACGCGCACACATCTCTATTGCTTTACAACCGCCCTCTTATATTCGATGATTTATGTGAGTGACGATAGATGGTGCTATATTAAAAAATGAAAATTATTGGTTAAATTATTTATAAAAATATGATGTTACAAGGTAGGACGTCAACTGGACGGTTTATTCACTGCAGTGCACGGATACAAATGAGCATTTAAATGCAACGGTCACTACGGGACAACGAAAAGAAGTAACCACAAGTAAAGAAAAGCAATCCACGCAAGCGCACAATGATGATGTGTTGGTATTGGCAATTAATGTCATTTTAGACATGACAGTTGCAAGGTTTTTTTTATTTAAGGATTTAACATCTATGCTTCCAAAGTCTTATGTTGTGAATTATCGACCACTTAAAAATGATTGGGGCACATACTTATAACATGGTTTGAGACATGTAGGATCGAATTAATACGATTATATACTGGTTCAAGTAAATGTAGCGGTTCATGATTTCTCAGTGTGCGGCTTTTCGTATTGAAAGAGAGTAGTGTGTAGTCGCCCTAATTGAATGAATTAATTTGGGTTTTGATATTACTGATTATTAAAAACGTTTCGTTATCAAATAAGTTGATTTCATTTTTCTTTTTCTCCTATGTCTTAAAATAACAGTATTTTATATTACATATGTGTTAAAAGGCCTTACGTATATAATTTGAAATAATCCATATCCTACGCTTTCTATTAAATGGGTACCATTTTTGCCAATCTTCTTTAAGCCTTAATAATCTTGAGTACGTTCATGCACTCGCATTTTTAACAGTACTTATAATCCTCAGCACAAGACCTCCTTGATAATAGGCTAGTTTACTCATGTCGAATTGTATTAAATAAATGTTTATTTCTTAAAGTGTTTAGTCTAAGGAACCTTAATATATCGATTTCACTTCATAAAAGCAGAAGATTGCTGTAGAAATTTAATTTTAAAAAATATTTTTTAGTCTATATTTTTTAAACACTAAAAACGCTGTTCGCCACATTCGCCATGATTTTGACGTCTCTTGTGGTAAACAACTAAATGTCATTCGCGTGTTACTGTAGGTGGATTCTTTCGTCTGACTAAATTTATCTTAAAACACTTTTAAGTTTAGGAAAGAAAAAAACAGTAAACTTAGCTGTTTTTGACTAAACAAATTATGGATGCCGGCTTTGTGAAAGCAGAAATCACAAATCTGCCAAGAATTGACGCATTGATGGTTGATGAATTTTTTGCATTAAACCCCGATTTCTGCTCTGCGGAGCAGAGACACGACAAGGTATATATATAAGTACAGTGCATTACAATGTAGTAATAAACATAAAACTGATACAACATATGAATAAGTGTAATAAAGTTGCGTAATTTAATTTCTTACGGCACTTTAATCTACAACTTTCCTGGAGTCTTCAAGGATGTGTTTTTATATTCTCGTACAATACAGTAATGATAATTACTTTATTTTTCGTGGTATTTATTAGAAATCATGTTTTTTTTTATTATAAACTCAGATAAAAGTAATTTTCTACGTGTTTACGAGTTTTTGTTTACCACAGTTCACGTCATAGCATAGACAATCTATAGACTAAAATGACCGACAGCGTTTTTGTATGTCCATGAAAAGTCTATTTTAAAATTAAAGATTTGTAGCTTTCTAGGTTTAAAAAAAATACAATACATTTTTTTTCGGTCTAATAGAACATTTATTAACCATTTAAAACCTTTTTCCAAAAAGGGTCAAGTAGCCTATTAATCAGCATTGGCGTGCATCTTTGGTGTTCTAATGAATTTGTACTTTTGCTACTGTTCGATTTATGTCGCAAGTTTCTTGACCTGGAGTAATCATTCAAGCGCAGCTTGGTCTATACGTGGAGTGAAGTCCCTACCCAGCAAGTGCAAGTGATGATAGTATAGTGCATGCGGGATACTTCGAACACGCAGCGGCTGGACAAGTAGAAACTAAGGAGAAAGGAGAGAATCTTGTCGTTGAACACCACTGTGGTGAGAAGTCTGTGATGTGCTCGTATCTTCATTAGGCGCCGCTGCTCTCGACTCTCGCGGATGGTCTACTATGGCCTGCCATCGAATGCGTTCGGCTTCGCTTCCATCGCGCGGTGTGACTGGCATGTACTTCTGTCACCGGTTGTTACGTGTCGGGATAGGGATCGAAATTATAACGCCGGTTCCCGCTTAACATTTCTTTATTCGGCACGCAGTTCTCACAGTTTAATGATAAACACACACACAAGTGCTTGAACACTTGCGCTTTAATCGCCTTTGTAATTTTTCCGAAATCGCTGTTGAACCTCAACTGTTCTTCTCTTATGAAGATCGGCGAGTACATTTGTATACGTAAATAAATTGGTAGTTCTCATTGCACATTCCTTCTTAAGCCGCACCGCCTAGGCTCATATTAGAATGGACCGCAACATGGCCTTCTTTTTTAGGTCACGAGGAAATCGCGGACAATCCACTTGCGCCATCGAGCTTCATGATTTTCTTTAATAAGAATCTGTAATAAAAAGATTTTTCAGGGAAATGGGATTGCTTTGTAAGTGGTGGACTTGCAGTTGGCTATGGCATCCTCGAGACTACTATAAAAGAAGCGGCAGAGGAAGCTTCTGTGGAGGGAGATCTTACCAAGAAATTGGTACCTGCTGGTTGTGTCAGGTAGGTCTTTAAATTTTTTTCATACTTTAAAATCTTCCTTTCGGTAAAAGTCATAGGCGCCTAGGCGGAGGCAAACTATTTACACATAGAAAATTGATTTGTGGTAGAAAGAAGGTTGCAACATTATTATTGTTGAGCATTGTCATGAGCTCTAGAGCAGTTGAGCGGGCCGGGTTTACAGATTAAAGAAATAATCTCATTTTCGGTGATGGGGGCGGTGGACAAACAGCCTTAAGCCGCATATTATTGGTCGATGATGAAAGCTAATCAGCGTGTATTGGATTCGTACGTACAGCTGCATTGACATGCTCAAAGTCTGCTTTGACCAAGTAGCTAATATATTATTGGTCCATGATGAAAAGTAAGCAGCGCGTATCAGATTCGGACGCAAAGCCGAGATGACATGCTTAAAGTCAACTTTGACGATGTATCTTTGACAAAAGTTGAGTACGGTCCAACATCGACTTTGGCTGGATGCCAACATCAAAGTGCGCTGTGATTAGTCTTTTACGCGAACAAAGTAGCGTAGAAGTAGTTATCAAATAGAGCTATTTAGTCAAACCAGACTGAGCATATCACCGCGGCTTTAGTTGGGTCTTGTATGCTGACTAACATGGTGACGTTTATACATACCAATAAAATCAGGCAGCGTGAATGTGCGTGCGGAGTTGCAATCACTCGACGTCCGGTTGGCATCCCAGCAGTTGTACTTAAACATTGTGCAGCGGAGTTGTCTCCCGTACTTACGCGCTTGTACCAACTCTCTTACTCTTTGGGGCGTGTGCCGGAGGCTTGGAGAGATGCCAATGTGCAACCGGTGCCCAAAAAAAGGGACCGCTCAGACCCGGCCAACTATCGGCCGATAGCTGTCACCTCAGTGTTGTGTAAAGTCTTAGAAAGGGTCCTTAAGAACCATCTGACCCGCTACCTAGAAGATTACTCTCTGATTCACGATCGTCAATACGGATTTAGGCCGAATAGATCGACGGGTGACCTTCTAGCGTACGTGACCCACATCTGGGGTGAAGCTATAGACAAGCGGGGAGAGCCTCTGGCTATTAGCCTTGACATCGCCAAGGCTTTTGACAGGGTCTGGCACAAAAGCCTTCTCTCCAAGCTTCCTGCATACGGTCTGCCTGCTCGGCTCTGCGCCTGGGTAGCTGACTTCCTGCATGAGCGTAGAATTTGCGTCTTTACGGACGGATGTAGTTCGCAGTTCATGTCAGTGAATGCCGGTGTTCCTCAGGGCTGCGTTCTATCCCCCACACACTTTCTGCTGCATATTAATGATTTGATTCCACTTGCGAATATTCATTGCTATGCAGACGATAGTACATGCGAGATACTTTGGACACGCAGCGGCAGGACAGGTAGAAACCAAGGAGAAACGGGAGAATCTTGTCGTTGAACTCAATCAGGCTTTGGACCACATTTCCGAATGGGGTACCAGGAACTTGGTTGAGTTCAATGCCAAGAAAACTCAGGCTTGCGCTTTCACGGCAAAAACATACCCAGACCTTCCCCTTCCCTCTCTTCAGGGCACAACACTGGCGCTACAGAGCAACACTAACAATATTACCATTCTCGGTATGGAAGTTCGCTCAGACCTAGATCCAAAGGACTACATCGAAACCGTGATCAAAACAGCTTCACGCAAACTCGAAGTCCTGAACAAGGTGCGGCGTTTTTTCACGCCCGATCAACTGTGCTTGATGTACAAAACGCAAGTGCGGTCCAGCGTCGAATATTACTCGCACCTCTGGGATGGCTCCGCCAAGTACTTGCTTGATGCTTTGGATAGGTTACAGCGGCGTGCGATCCGCATCATAGACGATGAGGAGGTGACTAAACACCTCACGTGAACGCGAATTACGCCGTGACGTGGCGTCACTAAGCGCGATTTATCGTCTGTGAGTGAGTGTTCTGAGGAGTTATTCTCCCTTAACCTCCATCACCTTTTCTTCAGAGGACCACGCGCGCTGGCCTATGTTGCCACCGACTTACTGTGGTCACTATTCCTACACGAACAAAGAAATTTGGTGACTCATTTCTATGTCGTACTATTCGTAAGTAGAATTCTCTACCCGCGCACGTGTTCTCTCCTTCCTATAATCTGGGGTCCTTTAAGAGAGGCGTGCAGAAGCATTTTTGCAGGCCGGCAAGGTGATGATGGTTGGTGTAGCAGTTTATAACTGTTGTACCAGCTATCTTCGTGTTTGTACTTTATCACCACTTAACATCAGGTGGGGTAGTCATTTTCCAACCTCGCTATAAAAATAAAATCATAAACACCTCATCAGTTTGATTACTGTACCTCAGCGATAGTCGATACACCTCTGTAAAGAGATCTTCAATACGCTCACCAGCCCACGAATGCTAATCATAGTGGCAGGTTATAATCTAACTGGACATTTGAAAGAATAAAACTGCATACTCATGACTTATCAGACAAATTCCTTACAGGTTTTAGCTAACCCTTTGTAAAATCTTGCAGTCAAAGTACGTAATAAAATTTATTGCATATTCTTTTTATGTTGTCTGTTATGGATTTTATTTGTATGCTATTCATATGATACTGCTAATATTTGTTGCCAACTAAATGACCTGATTGCCTGACTGACCATTTTACTATTTACCTTTTATACCTGTATCTAAGATTAATATTTGTTATTTTTACACTTTATTTTCAGCTTTTATTTTGAAAGCGAAAGAGGTCTTTTTCCAAACACAGAGTATGTATACGATCTTGAGTTACCGTTAGACTTTGTGCCACAAAATGCAGATGGGGAAGTTGAGAGTTTCGAATTATTAACTGCTGATGAATGCATACAAAGAGCTCTCACGCCACAGTTCAAGACAACAAGCGCTCCTGTAATCATAGACTTTCTTATTAGGAAAGGCTATATAAATCCAGAAAATGGTATGTTATCATTTTTAAGATCACTTCTTGAAAAAAGTTCTTAAGTTACTAAGCTTTTTTATTTTAAACACTTTAAATATATGTTTTAAGGCCGCACTGCCAGACTTAAAATTAATTCAATGACGCGTTGTCTTAGGCGCCTTCCTCACCAGACGGACGTGTCCTCATTTCGTTTCTGTACCGAATCTGTACAGATTTTCTTTATCGATAACTATTTGACCGGCTCCGTTCGGTGCGTTTTCATTTCGTTTTGTATCTACGGTTTTTATCGTTTGTTATAGTGCCGTCACGATAATGTAGTCTTCAGAAGATGATTATATAATAGGGTGCTATATTCATTCGCAGTTTTTTGCAGAAAAATAAACCACTGGCGACATACCTATATAGCCAATAATACACACATCAAAAGTGTCTAGGGATCAACATATATTTTTGCAATAACTTTTCTCCTGATTGATATTAATTAAAATTTTCTTTAAGGATTCATCAAATAAAGTGTTTTCGTTTGTCACAGTAACGATAAACCAAGTCACCTTTGCATTAATAAAGAAATTTGCCATTTTCCTAATAAAGGGATTTTTGACATTTGAACCACTAACACAAAAGTTCGAAAAAAAGACTGAAATAACAGTTTTCTCTAAAATTTTATTGGGTAACTTAAACAATTAATAATCCGTATTTCTACCGCGAACACTAACAACACAAGAACATCGGTTTGGCATACTCAAAATGAGTTCATCCAAATCACGCTGTGGAATGGCCGCCCATGTTCGTTGCAACAACAAAAAAAGGTCTTCTTGCGACTGGATACCCTCCATATTCGGCAGAGCTCTTCTCTGTAGCATATCCCATGCATGCTCAATCGGGTTCAAGTCTGGCGACTGAGCAGGCCAGGGCAGGACATTGATGTTAGCTGCGGCGAGAGTCTGTCTTACAACTCTTGCGGTGTGCGGTCGTGCATTATCATGCATTAACTGAAATAAGGGACCGATTTGCACTTGTAGAGGAACGATGACGTCTGATACAATCGTCTCAGCATAAATTTGAGCGTTGAGGTTGCCTCTGATCCAAATCAACTCAGTTCTTCCGCCGATCCAAATACCCGCCCATACCATGATGGTTCCACCACTATAAGGATGGACTTCCTGGCAGGATTTTAATCGCTGTTGGCGTCCAGGGGTTCTCCAGTGTCGTATACGTCTTGTATCCGGTCTCATACCAAAACGAGACTCATCAGAAAAGCACACGAAACGCCATTGTTCTTCTGCCCCATTTCTGTGTTCAAGAGCCCATTGATATCGAATCCTACGATTGTGCATTGCTATAGGTGGTACCCGTAGCGGTCTTCGGGAATGAAGGTTCACTTCATGCAAGCGGTTTCTGACTGTTTGGTCGCTAATTAAGTTCCCTGAAGAGTGATGAAGCCTCACGGCTAACATCATGGCGGTTATTGTTGGAGCTCTTCGAGTTAAGATTTGAATGTATCGGTCTTGTCTCCGTGTGGTGCAGCGATACCGTCCTCCATGGCGCTCAGCCACGGTACCAGTGCTTCGGTATCGTGTCCAAAGTCGACTGATAACACTCTGACTTGTATTCAGAGCTAAAGCCACAGTACGTTGCCGGGAACCAGCTTCTATCATTCCCACGGCTCTGAGCATTTCTTCCCTGCTTAAATGACGTCGCCGCTCCATAATAACGTTGGTTTTAATCAGTAGTAGGGAAACAGTAGCACTAATAATGTCTTCAATGCGTTGTATGTTTTTATAGGGAAAATATTGACAGCTGATTTTCATCTTTTACTCGAATTTGATTCACAGTTCCTGATTCAAATTATGAAATGCACCAAAAAGGATCCATATAAATTTATAAAATCATAAATTTATTACAAAGCCACATCTCAATCTCAAGAAATCCGCATAAAAATGCTTGATCCCTAGACACTTTTGATGTGTGTATTTATTGTCGTCTATTTGTTGCGGCTGTCCGATTGCTGTAAGATGATTCAAAATTCAAAGCAATGTACAAAATGTCCAAACAACTATGATGAGATTCTTAATCTCATTGCCCCTGTAATAATTATTCAACAAGATACAAACTATAGACGATGTGTAAGCGCTAAATAGAGTTTTTTGATTAGTTCAAAGGTAAGAAGTTATCAACACTGATATGCATGGCAGAATGTACTTTTTTGTTACTTTTTGATGTATATTATGATATCTCAGTATAGAGAGGTGATTAAGCGCATAAGCGACTCATTGAATTACCTGCATTCGGTTACAATGTGTTCGGTACAGAAATTAAAACGTAACGAACACGCGCTGTCCGGTGAGGAAAGCGTCTTAGGTTCACCTGCAGCAATTTTGCAAAATCTATTTTAACTAAAACTAGATATAGCCTATACAATGATGTCAAATTGACATTGATGTTTTGATATTTTCCTACGGAATATATCTAGTAGTCCAGTCAATGAAGGCTTAACTTTGCCATTTTGAGTTGATCACCTGCAACCAACGCGAAAATTTCCGCAAGGGTTCGTAGATTAATATACTAAAATTGCAGGGTGCTGCATTGACGGCAAAGGGTGAAAAAAAATGCGAAATGGTGCAAAAACGAGTTTTTCGTCAATATCTTGCGACTGGTTGGAAAAATAGAAAAATTTCCTAGTACAAAGTTGTAGAAAATTTAATTTCCTACAAAAAAGGTATCAACATATTTTCGCGTATCTCCCATAGTTTTTGCACAAAATGCAATTAAAGATGCAAAATAAAAAAAGAAAAAATATTGTTAATGGTTTTTTTTCCCTATTTTAAACGATCCTACGGGTCAAATTCAACAATCACCAATTAATGAAATATTTAAAAATGAGTTTTCGGCAGTCCACTGAAATGAAAGTTGTCTACCGAAATGGTAAAAAAATTACCACCGAAATGATACAGCCAAGAACATCGCCCTTGTAGTAGAAGGGTTCCCTATTTTGAATTTAAATAAATTTCCTTATTCTTTGTAAATATTTTTGTTCATTATTTTTTATAAGAATTAATTAATTGTTACTCCTATTAATTATTATTACTAATTATAATTATTAATATGTACATTTTCAAAATAAAGAACAAAGCGCGTTTAGAAAGTGAGAAGTTTATTAGTTAGTAAATCGTCCCCTTAGTGCCAAAACCGATTATCTGCACTTTTCCGCTACTGAACTTTTATAATACCAATCGACCCGTCTCATTAAGCCGCATCTACAGGTAAAATCCATTATGCTCTACGACGCATACTTCCGGAAATAGCTAATGAATAAACAGAATAACTGCAAATTATTTCCAAAATTCTTGATTTAAAACCTAATAAATCCATTCAAAACACTTAAGTTTGAAAATGTATTACCGTTGAAAACAAGTTTCGAATTTAAACTCATTTTTCATGTAGATACTTAGAGTAAATATCCTGTGAGTATCCTGTAACTGGCTTTGACTGTTGTTAACTTGACTGTTTGACTTTTACCAGATATTTTAATTTTACTAGATGAAGTAAAAACTAACGAGTCTGTGGCTTTTTGCAAAAAAAAATATATATCATATGTTTGCGTTATATTTGAGGCAAGTAAAAGAGGATAGATCGAATCGATCGACAGGTGACCTTCTAGTGTACGTGACATATATCTGGGGTGAGGCTATTGATAAGCGAGGTGAGTCTTTGGCTATCAGCCTTAACATCGCCATGACTTTGATAGGGTCTGGCACATAAGTCTTCTCTCCAAGTTTCCTGGATACGGTCTGCCTACTCAGTTCTGTGCCTGAGTGGCTGACTTCCTGCATGAGCGTCGACGAACGGCGACGGATGTAGTTCGCAGTTCATGTCAGTGAATGCCGGTGTTTCTCAGGACTCCGTCCTATCCCCTACACTCTTTATGCTGCATTCAATGATTTAATTCCGCTTGAGAATATTCATTGCTATGCAGACGATAATACAGTGCATGCGGGATATTTTGGATACGCAGCCGCTGGACAGGTAGAAACCAAAGAGAAACGGGAGAATGTTGTCATTGAACTCAATCAAGATTTGGACCGCATTTCGGAATGCGGTACCAAGAACTTGGTTGAGTTCATTGCCAAGAAAGCCCAGGTCTGGGCTTTCACGGTAAAACTAACGTTTTTTCACGCCTGAGCAACTGTGCTTGTTGTACATGACGTAAGTACGGTCTTGCGTGGAATATTGGTGGATGGCTCCGCCAAGTACTTTTTTGATGCTTTGGATAGGTTAGAGCGGCGCGCGAGCCTATATATATAAAAAAATCTATAGCAAAGATTTTTTTTTGATATTTGCTACAAAGGTGTCATATCTGGGGAGTACCATGGATTATGCAGATCTTTGGCTACAGAAACAAGCCAATCTGATCGTTTGCCTTCAGGAACCATTTTTGATGACTCATCATGTGCAAGCGAGTCAAGTGCAGATGAATAATACAGTTTTTTTTACACTTTTTTATATTTAAATACTATCGGCCGCCAACGACTTCATCCGCTTTAACTTTAATATACATTTTTAAACTAGAAATTTTAGATTGAAATACTACTGCATCCGAAATATCGAACCAACAGTTTCTAGGTAAACGTACATCACAAACCGAAATTATTTAATATACCAATATTGACTCCAGGATTTCTAAAAACTTATGGATGTATCATTTCGGCGATACTTTCATTCCCTGGACTCTTATTGGCATTACAGTCCACCGAATCAATTGTCCCCATATCACTGAAATGGTATGCTTACTATTTGGCGGGAATCCACAATGACGTTGTTGCGCGTGCGTGTGATCCATCTAAGGCGGCCTGGCTCGAAGGGAGCACTGACAAGCGGGATACAAAAACACAATGTAAACGAACCTATTTCACAAAAACTTACAGTCCATGGAAATGATAACTTTTTCCCGGACAATAGTTGAGTGCTTGTTATATGTATTAGAAAGAAGGTAAACAAACAATAGTGGTTTTTGTTGA